CTATGAGAAAATGTGATTTGTCGCATGAATGTTCCAGGATATAGATACTGTCTGAAAAGTTATTGGGTCAGCAGCTTGAGGCCCCACTGTATAGTGCAGTACTGTATCTGACTTCCCAGGTTCAATTACACATGGTGATTTTTCAGTGGACAGGTTACAGATATTCATTCCCTGGATATGGTGCAGGAACACCGTCATGCTTTCAAGTGTTTGAATCTGTGAAATACTACATTTACGCTAGTACCACATGCACTTATTTTTTAAAAATGACGAGAGCAAAAAAATTGGACAGATATACAATTTTTAAAATGTAATGTAAATTAAAGAAAAGTTCAGGTGTGTGTCATAATCAATTCTTTAGTAAAATCTGACCAGTTTTGAAAAAATATTATTACAATATTAGTCCAATTCAAGCAAAAATCTAAATTCTGATGAGTTTTATTTCCAAAATATGACAGCTTTTCTGTCAATAAAATGTGGGAAGCATCTTATTTTGGGATACAGTGCTATTTTATCCAATTTTTAGTACTGTACAGTCAAACCTCTCTGAGTTGAATTTTTTGGGACCATCAAAAAATTCAACTTAAGAGGTTTTAATTTATGGAGGTTTCAATTTGCAAAATCAAGTATATCTGTTGTGGGGAAACATGAAAGAATCACAGGAAATTAGAAATGGGGATATTCTGGGCCTTAACTTGCTTCTTACATGAGTTTGCAGCATGCTGGACTTGTAGGCATGGGTTCATTTGCTCAATTAGTCTCACACTTACTGTCAAGAAGCATCAAGTTACTTATTTTATTGCTTTTCTCTTTCATGTGTGAAGAAAATGATAGCCAAAAGAGCAAAATTAATCAGAAAATCTAATTTATGGAGATTCAAGAGGGCAATACTTTGAGTTAGGGAGGTTTTTAATTATTTTTTTCTACGGTAATTAAGATGGGGACTAGAAAAAATTTGCCCAGGAAGGTATTTGACTTAATGAGGTTTGACTTATCAATGTTCAACTGTACTGTATAAGGAAATCCAGTTGCACATCTTACTCATGGATGTGTGATAGTTGGATGAATATCCTATAGTAAAATAAAGATGATGTTAAGATTCTTTTGTAATATCACAAACCTTTTGGAGATTAAATTTGAAAGACTCCTCAACAAGTGGCCTCTCTGTGTAACAATCTTGTCGACATGAATTATCTCTGTATAACAAGTTTTTACTTGGCCCCATAGGATTCTCTCCATATGTTATTGGGGTTCTCTAAAACAAAATTCTCTTTGCAAAAATTTTTTTCTAGTCCCCTGACTTCTGCTGTAGAGGGTGTCCACCTGTATTAAGTTTACCATATTTACTTGAGCAAAATATTACCACATGCCCCTGAGTAAGTTGAGCAAAAGGGTTTTCAGCCTAATTTTTAAAATGAAATTCTTTCTCCAATTAAGACAAGCACTCCATTTTTAGTTATTCTATAACTGCAAGTTTTTGGAAATAAGAAAGCTCAAATTTTAAGGTCAACATGATTTGATTGTGAATTCAGCTAATTTTCAATTTGTTCCATAATACTTTGTTATTCCATTAAAATTTGTCCAAAATATTCCATTATAATGAAATTTAATGCACACCTCAACTTCCAAAACTGTTGGAAATTTATGCTGTACCAATTTCGAGAAAAAAGGTGCGCATGTTACTCAAGTAAATGTGGTATTTTACAATAAAATTGTTGTTCCTGAGAAGACAGTCCTTTGAAAAAAGAAAAAAAACTTTTGATTTCTGAAGCCGCTAAAACTCTTCCTGCTGAAAATCCCTTCAACTTGTCTGAAGGATCCTCTTGCCCCCATGTTCTGTCTCTCTCTCTTTTCCTCTGGAACACGTTGTTGCCACCACGTGTTTCCAGAGCCCAGAGCCCTGCCATCCCCGGGCATGAGTCGTCAGTCAGTGAGTGGCACCGGAAGGAAGCCTCGCGTCAATTCGTGATTTCATTCCCAGATTTCGCGCCGCAGGAAGCGCTCGATCAGTCACACTACCCTCGCCTTCTGCGCGCCCTTTTTTCTCAGGCTTCACGGTCCGCGGCCTTCATGGGAACGAAACGGAACGGAACGGAAAGGAAATCCCGGCCAGATGTCCACTGGGTAACAGGCGGAAAACGACGTCGTTATACAACTCGTGGGACCTACGAACAGCAAACACACCTACCTATAAGCTGTACACTGCAATACTCTGTACGACAACACCGCAACAATCACATGGAGAAATAAAGCCTCCTCTCATCTACACAGCACTGGACGACGAATGACATCAGGCGTCCCTTTGGTGGGTTTTCAGAGTCAAACCCCGACGAGCCGCCACCATATGTTTGTGAGGCTTGCTGTGGCGGTTTAACGGGATTGGCGATTTATACAGTACATTAATGTACTTTCGAAAATGTTGAGAAAGTCTTGATGCATCCGGATTATCCTTCACAAAACACAAATTCCATCGAGACTAATCCCACAGAGCCAAAACAGTGGCGTAATCTTAATGTCGCACGAAATATGAGGGGCTTTGCAAAAAAAAAAAAATCTGCGAGTCACTGACAAATAATCATTGCAGGCACATGACGCGTGCTGGTGAAATATGTATGCTATATTTTTCTTTGCCAAAAAGCATTACAGTACGAATAAATTAAGATAAAAAAAAAAAAAAAAAAAAAACGCCGGCATTCGTGGCTCGGAAACGGAACGAACCATTTCGCAGGTGTCGTGATCAGTGCACCGTGATGCGGAATTCGGATTGAGCAAGCAGGATCCCCCGGTGTTCCAGGATGAAGGAAGCACGGGTTCTGGCTCCACCACCGACTTGAACGACGATGACGACGTCCGGTTTCCGGCAAAGATTTCCGCCACGAAAGGAAGGGAACAAAATTAACGCTCTTACCAGATGAGATCCTGGGGTATTCATCAGGTGCGGCCATTTCCTTCTCTTTGTTTATTTCTGTTTGTTTATTCTTTAATCACGAAAACGTCCGAAAATGGAGAAAACTACTCATTGACATAGCCTGCTAGCTTAGGATTGCTGTTCGGTGACTTCAGGAAATTGTCGGAAATAAATTGTGCCAGTAACTTTCTCAAAGATTGGTTGAACATACGATTGGAAATTCTTTCTCCACTGCTGATGAGGAAGAATCTCTGGAATATTTTCGAAACGATTAGAAGGGGGAAATAATATGCAAAGTCGGAGGATCCTCGCAAAAAAAAAAAATGGAGCGTAAATTTTTGTCGCACTTTTTCCCCCATAGGATACAAAGAAATCTTAAATAAATTTGCGTTGCACATTACCTCATCTTAATTTATTCGTACTGTAATGCTTTTTGGCAAAGAAAAATATTGCATAAATATTTCACCAGCACGCGTCATCTGCCTGCCATGATTATTTGTCAGTGACTCGCAGATTATTTTTTTGCAAAGCCCCTCATATTTTGTGCGAAATATACATTACGCCAGAGAGAGAGAGAGAGAGAGGTTCTAACCCATTCCTTTTACGCCGTGTTTTGCCAATTTTTCTTTATTTTTGCCCTTTCGTGAGGGGTTTCCGGTCGGGGCTTTCTGAGGAGGTGAACCCATCAACCCACGATTCACGTCGCGTTTGTGTATAAAGGCGGGCTTTTGGCTTCGATTTCTTGATCCTGGCTTGGTTTTCTGAATGGAAATAGATGATTGATTCCCAGGGACGAAATTTATGATTTCATAGTAAGCGAGGGGAAGTACCATTTTGATATTAGCAAGTACCGGAATGATTTGGGACCATGTAAGGCCCAGTTTCCCTGATACAGTACTGTACAAGTGGACTCTCCCTATACGATTTTGTCTACAACGTTTTCTCTGTATGATTAATTTTTTTGGTCCCATTGGATTTTATCTCCATTTTATAAGTCTCCTTAACATCTAAATTCAAAGAACCAAAAATATTCGTTGCGGAGGGAATTTCGTTGTAGAGAAAGAGAGAGTCCACCTACAAGAGAAAAAAAAGCGGAATGTTTCCGAAATTGCAGAATGTTTTCAACATTTGCTTGCGCTATTTTAATTCACTCAGGGTTAAAAAAAAAAACGCTTCCATTCGAATGATAACCAAATACTGTAATATGCTCAATACCATTTTTCTCAATGCTGATAATAATGTTGAAGCACTACATGAGCTAGATACTTGCTTATAATTCAAAATTTTCCCAGAAGAAAGCATATATTCAAGTTCTTTCTTTCAAAGTACCGGATTTTCGTGTTCAATTTAATCATGGAATTTTCTTTTAATAGATTATCAAAAAAGTGTACCCAGCAGACGATGTACGTATGTCTTTCTCAGTAGTTCATCATTGCGATTAATTGTATTTGAAGCTCTAAAATTAAATGATAATTCAAGTGAAACACCGTTTGATATTTTAATCCAGTACATGTGATCAGCGTTCTATCATATTTCAAAATACTGTGCAGTATTTACTCAAACCACTTGCCTTCTAGTAATATGCTGTGCATCTGAATTTCATACAGTAGTTTAAAATTTGGATGAAAACCTATCCCTGAGAGAAATGCGCACCCTATTTTTAGCAATTGAAAATTTTCAATATTTTAAGATAAAACAAACCCGCAGTCGAATTTTGACTCATATTGGACCGGAATTCAATTAATTAACTTATTGCTGTTGTTTTTAAAATGTTGTTAAAAGTGCTTCAAAATTGTTCGTTAAATTAAAGCGTGACTTAACTTGAAAAATTGAAAACTTGTAAACCCATGCCTTTTCCTTCTAATAAGAGAAAGTACACTTGGTAGTCTAGCAAATAGAGCAAAAGATTCCACGTAGAAAATCACCAATTTCAGATGCAGTACTGCATTTTAAATTAAACAGGCTTGAATCTCAATGTGAATCTTGTAATCGATTGAGTCTTGATTGAATTCCCTCAAATGAGGCATTGTGTTCGTGCTTTTTCTTTTTTTTAACTGTGCAGTATTTCATTCTGTTGCAGGAAAGAAATAGGATGTTGGAGTGGTTGGTGTGTGCAGCTTTCCTTCTCATGGGCTCCACAATTTTCTTGGGCTGGGGACTGCTGGAAATATGTCCCAAGGAACGAGCTGGATTGAAACACTTTGCCGAAAGCATTTTGTTGTGGGGCAAACTTTCTAATGGGAAACGTGCTTCCAAGTTTAACGTTCCGAAACGGTGAGTTTCCTAATGGTTCTTCTGCTGGTTCAAAGAGCCTTAGACTCGTGTGGGCGTAATTTTCTTGGAGTTTGGGTTGAAATCCGGGTCTCTCGGTCTTCATAAATGCATGCACTTGGTGTATTTCATCGAAGAATTGCACACCTGGATTTCTGGAATGTCTTTTGCGTCAGGAAAAGGAACTTTTCATCAAGAATAAATACTGTAACTGGTGCATGATTTGTTCGCTTTTTTTCTGGCAGGTCTAGTAACTTAACCTTCGAACTACAATGAGTGCCATGTAAAAAAGAAAGGAAATGAAAATAAATGCTGTGAAATAAGTGATGAATAATTTACTAGCATTAACACAACAGTCCCTTTGGTACATGACATGATCTTCCTAGGTAGACTCGAATTTTTTAAAAAGCAATTGACATAAATAGCGTACACATTTCAAGAAAATGAAGCACAAATTTACCTTAGTTACTCGATTACCACGCGCACCTTTTTTTCTGTAAAATTGAGACAGAAATTCGGGGTATTCGAGTAGTATGCGATTATAATTTTTTGAAGCAGAAATTATGAAATCAGTCGTGGGAGCCATAAGTGATTGTAGGTGCAAAAAATGAGGATTGAATTTTGCTTGGTACAAAACCAGTTCAAATATTCCATGTTGTCGTATCTATTTATGAGACTATTTGGTTCAATATTATTATTTGTAAAAATAATTTGATTTTCAACCATGTGAAACTGGGGTGCGAGTCTTATGAAGGGATGCATTTTGCAAAAATGTAATGCAAAAAAAAACGTCGGTTCGCGGCTTACTCAAAGGCGCCTGGTACTCCACTTGATTCGGTACTGTATTTGCCAATATGCTTTTCAATTGAATAACTTGACAAAAATCTATTATTCTTTTAGATATTTTTATTTTTTTTTAATTAAGACAAAGAAAACAGTCTTTTTTTTATCCAGTCCTCGGTTATACTGTACACGTTTTCTCCAATTCCTAGAAAGTATACAAGAGTTAACGGTAGAAAATCAAGCTGATTTCATTCTAGCCCATGTGTACGAATACGTTTGTTTTTAAAAAATCATGAAAATAGATTGATAGACGACCAAAATGTTTATTTGAAAAAACATGAGGGAATTTAATTTCCCATGATTTCTGTTACTGTACTTTCATTGGAGAAGATGGACCAAAAAAATAAATAGACAGAGGGAGAAGTGCATTAGTTCTCTCCCATGGTTGTTGGATATTCACAAGCCATAAAGAATTGTCCTTGTCAGTTGCATGCAAAGTTATTTGCCATTTTAAAATATCATCTTCTCAAATTTTGCAGTGTAGAAAGTTTTCTGAAATCAAGTTTGATCATGGAGTGAGATATTTATTTTTGCTGTTGTTCTGATGGAAGTGTTTTTTTTTTTTTGCGTGTGCTTTTTTGGCAGTTGGTTCGCCCACTTTTACGTCACCGGACTGTTGGTCTCGTCAACTGCCCTGGGGATGACTGTGTTTGGGAGACAGACGTTGACCAGGGCCCTTTTCTCCCTGCCGCCTTTTGGGCCGGGGTCAGGCTCATGCAGCGCCGCCGTCGGTGAGTTCGTTGATCTCCCGGGGCGACTCCTCTTCATTATTATTTTTTTTGTCAACTCTTTTCTTCCATTGTTTTCCTTTTCATATACTGTATATAAAAAAAGGGGAGAATGGGCTTTCCGTCCTCTCTTTTTACCGTCTTATCTTGTTTTGCATAGTCGTTGCAGAATTTGATATGTGCATTTCGGCGGGAGGTGAGAAATGCTTCGGCAAACCTTGACCCTCTGACGACATTCTTTCGGAATTATGACTCTTTTGCGCGAATTCTGCCTCTGAATCTCGGAATGCTCATTGCTGTCTTCATATTTGAGCAGGAAAATGCAATTATTCATGTTTTGCGGGCTAAAAAAAAATTTTTGAGCTGCAACAATTGGGCGTATGCGGGTCGGGTCCGCAAGATTTGTCAGCCTTGGGCTTCTATCATTTGAAGTCTTGAATGATTGGAGGACGGGTTAATGTTGCATTAGTTTTTCATAATTTCTTAACTGCAGTTCAAAGTTTTAGTCGCTCGTGTTGAAATCTACGAGTAGAGAACACGGAAAATATAAATTTCACGCTATGAGTGAGAGGGAGTACAGTATTTGTATTACAGCACTAAATTTTTCGATGAATGTCGAATTTCAATGCTCACAAGCTTAAGTGCCACCAGATTTTTAATTTTATTGAAAAATTCGTTTATTAACCTTCTTGAAAGTCTGCATAGTCCATTTTAATGAACAAAAAGTTCTTCTGATCTCGGATGTTTCCCGTCTGAGGGATGTGTAGTGTGAAGGTTGATGTAGATTGTCAAGTGATGGCAAGAAACCGAAAAACGATTCGTTATCTTAGAAATACATTACTTTACTTCGTTTGATTACTGATTCGGCAGTAGTTTGAAGGATTTTCCCTCAGAATTTAAGGGGTGCAGGATAAAATCCCGTGGGAGAAAAAATCCCGCGGCCCGAAAATCCCGTACGGCCGAAAATCCCGTAGGCCCAAAAATCTCGAAAGGTCCAAAAATCCCGTAGGTACGAAAATCCCGAAAAAGGAATTTTCATATCAGTAAAACCTAGTTTGAAAACTGCAGAAGGTAATGGTATTTAAACAATTCATAATTATCAAAGACGTCTAAATGCAGTTATGTATAGTGATATTTCATTTTCAATCTTAATATTCAATATACATCCCAAACCCTTGGAAGGAATTAAAACCCTTGCACTTTCACAATTTCATTATCCACTAGATTTTTATTCCTTCCAGACAGTTGGAAGTGTAACCCATAGAGACAATATTACAATTTTGTAGTACTCAATGGGATTTTTGTACATACGGGATTTTCGTACCTACGGGATTTTTGGACCATGCGAGATTTTCCGGCCTACGGGATTTTTGGCCTCACGGGATTTTCGGGCCGCGGGATTTTTTCTCCTACGGGATTTCATCATGGAGCCAATTTAAGATCCTCAGGGAAATTCGGTTCAAAATTGTGTGCAAAACTTGTGAACCATTCCTCGCATATTCATTCACGCGATCTGATTATGTCTTGAATTTAAAGTCCATGAACTGATCGGATTACAATTTTCATACTTTCATTTTGCTTCACACTCTTCTTTGCAATTTCATGTTCAAAAAATCAATGCTCGGTGCAATACAAGCACATTCCTGTAAAATTTTTTTATTTCTCGACTAGAGGCATTAATGTCAAATCAGTGAACCGATTCAAAGGCCTTTTTGGTAATGTCTTCCATTTTAAAACCACAGTGCTTTATGTTAGGCGATTTTAGCCTACGTGTACGGTACAGCAGTACTTCACTTGTACATGTCTACGAATTCAAATGAGTAAATCTTGAACTGAATTACTGTACTGCCTGGCTCAGTTTTTAATGCGAGGCTCAATTTCTACCGGAAGTTCTTTCTGAGAACTGCTGAACCACGATGGGGTTAGAAATGCAACTCTATCTTTCCTGGAGGATTAAAGCGGATAATGGTAGAGGGTTAGAAAATGCCTGAGGCTGGGATTTTTCCAAGGCTGAATCCTCGGAAGCCGGAGACTTGGGATGGGCTTGTGTTGCAGGTTTTCCAACCCAACAATCCTACCCGTGTCTCGAAGTACACCAGGGATTTGAAGAGAAAAATGAAAAATAAAGAAACTAAAATCAAGTCATACATTTTTCACCGGAATTTTATCTCGAGATCAAGTCCTTTGTTCGCAACCCTGTCACCTAAAAAGGCATGAAAAGCTACTATTGTACCTGTGTGAAAAAAGTATCGTACCATGAGCCAACTATTTGAGTGATTATGTTTTCTGGAACCTGTCTTTTTTTTTTTACTCGAGAATGGCATGGCTTTGGAAATTGCAGCATACCTAAAAAAATAGTTTTGCATGAGAAATGCTGTGTAAAAAGCAAATTAAAATTTTTGGCAGCGTGTGATGGGATGAATATTCATCATCCAAGCTGAATCGCGAAACAGTCAATATGCTGTATTTTAAACGATTTCATCTCCCGGAAATTTTTAGTTTTCGAATGTAAAAGTGAGCCAAATTAAACCTCATCAATTTTACCTTGAAAGACGCTTATTTAATTTTTTGAATAATATTTTTGCGATCGGAATGCGCGTTTAAATACACTGTACAGTATTTATATTCAATGATACCTGGATGCTTTTACAGTATATTTGTCGCAGTTCGTCTGGGCGCTTTTCTCTTGTCATTTTCAACCAAAAAATAATTCACAATTTCCTTCGTGTGATCAATTCTTCGAAAAACTGAATAATTATTGTGATGCAATCGTTTTATTTTCTGGGATGCATTTAATGCCTCAGTCGAAAGTTATCTGTGAGAATGGGCGAAATGCCACCTTATCATTCTTTTATGATCTGCTTCAAAGGATTGGCGATCCAGTGTTTTTTTTTACCATAAATTTTGTGCACTTCATAATTTTTAATTGAGATGTAGACGAAAATCCCAATCTTCGTACGCGTACAAAAACGCTGCTGATTTCAAAATCTTCATGGCAAAGCTTATCGAAAAAAAAACCTTGTGCTGTCAGGCTTAATCCTCTTAGAAGTCGTGAGAAACGTTGTTGCCTCCCAAAATCTCTTTCCGAAAAGGTGAAATGAGATGAATGAGCCGAAAATATCTGCATTGAATTGCATTGAAAAGCGATTAGGGAGATTTGACCCATGCAGGAAATTCAGGGGAATAAGTCACGGAATTAGTTGGATTAGAAAGACTGATTCTTCTTCCCACGAATGAGCAGAAATTTCATACATTAAGTTTGTTTTTGAAATGCCGAGGGAACCTGATAATCAACTCACTTTACGTGATTGATCTGGAAACAATGATCAATCCAGCTTGATTACCTCATGAACTGCTTGAATAAAGATATAGAAATAATGGGGAATTAAAGTCCATTCTATTCTCTTTCAAAATATATCTGATTGTGTGAATTCAAACTTTTTTTAAAAGAACTGAACGAAATCTCGACAAAAAATGTGCCCGGATAAAAAATTGTCATCATTGTCTGTCCAAGAATGCAAGAAGTTCTCCAGAAAAAAAGGACCCAGCTCCGCCTGTCTTGAAAAAACTTGTAGTAAATCAGCAATGAAAAAACTTTTCCATAATTCACAGTGATATTTAAAGCCGATCTCCAACGTTTGTACGATACTGTATATTGAAAGCCGTGAAAATCGATCCGTCTCATAATAGTTTTCCACATACATTAATTGACTGGGCATTGCCACCAATATTTTTCTCTTTGTTTGGAATAGCGTTTGCAATACAGTATACATATTAACCTGCTTCTCAAACTGCCGTAAATTGCCCAAATGGTGATTTGGTGTTTCAAATTAGTTTCCAGGGATAAATGTTTGCGCCGCAGCCTAATTTTATTCATTGGATAATATATTTTAGTTTGGTTTTAGTGAATAAAATACTGGTATCCTTCATTTCTTGGTACGTACTTTTACTGTTATTCAATACAGTGATAATCTGTTCATAACTAGTAATTCAATAGAAGAATTTATGAATGAAATTTCCAAAGGGATCTGGAGTATATGAACCACTCCACAAAGTGTAGCATCTTTCAATTTAAGAGCTTCCAATACAGGTGGTACCTCACAATTTGACCATCCCAAAATTTGATGGTAGAATTTGCAGGGAGGTTGACTTGCAATTTGATCCTTGCCCCACAATTCAACCTGCTCTGGCCATTTTTGTGTGTGTGTTTTTGTATTGATATTTTTGAATTTCACGAAGTGTCTCACAACTCGACCGCTTTGCAATTCGACCCTACTTTGGCAACGGATTAGGGTCAAATTTCAAGGTACCATCTGTACCATTTATTCATTCCATATGACTTCACATTGCCCTGTTAATCCACTTTCTGGATGGTGGACTTCCCAGTGAAACGTATCATGTCCATTCATCCACTTGTTTGTGTGTATCTGTGTGTGTGTGTGTTTTTTTTCTTTCTCTTTTGTTGAATTCCGAGTTATGGTGGATGGCGTCCCCAGCGCAACGGCGGCATTTCCGTGTTCCTGTTCCGAAGATTCTCCGTCTCGTGCCTGGTCTTTTTCGGCGCCACGGGGACGGGCACCGGCGCCGGGTCCCGCGTGAATGGAATGTTGGGTTGGGCGCGCATCGGGAAAACGTATTCTGTACGTACGTAGGTGCGCCTCGGCGTGGGACGATCAGGCGACCGAAGTGGGCTCAAAAAAAAAAAA